TTTTTTTGCTCACAAAGCTGAGTACCGATATCAAACAGTCTAACGGCAGGAACAACGGCAACAACAGCTTAGTAATCTCATCTAAGACATTTACAATAGAAAAGAAGAACTTGCATGAAACGAGTTTCAAATTGTTTGTTGAAAATTAACAACCATAACAACAATGACAAAAAGAAGTTAATAAAATGCTATTTTTTTCTGAAACTAAAAATATATAAATATTCTGACGGATAAAAATTTCACTGAAAATGCGCAATTAAAAGAAAAGAAAAAAGAAAGCAAATTAAAGAACAGTGACTGCAGTCACAGATTTTTAGCATTTATCCTACCTATTATTGGACCAATTCTAATTTCAAGCAATTCAGTATTCGCCTAAAAATCATTGTCCAATTTTGTAAAGCTGTAAAAAAGGTAGACATTGGTGTTTAACGATAGCAATATTTTTATGATAGTTATTTTTTTTTTTTTTTAACTGCAGATGAACAAACTGACAGTGCCGTGATTTACACCACCTCCGTCATTCTCCCCTTTCCTCTGCTCCCCTGTCGTCAAAAGGCATTATTTGGATTCATCATCACATTTATAATTCCTTGGTCAGCGGTTATTCGTGTGAAAATTTTTGATTTTTATGTCATCTTATAATTAACAGGAAAAAAAAAAGGAAAGGTGATGATGGGAAAGCAGAGAAGCGCTATCAATCATAGAGTAGTAAGCTTGGGTAAATTTGTCGCATAAAAAAAAACTAACGGCTATCTCTTAAAATCAACAGGTTTGTTGTTGTTACTGTTGTTGAACATTCAACCACGCCGAAAACAGCAAATATAACGAAAAAAGGCCGTACGCAGTTTTACACTTTCTTTTTTCTTCTTATACAAATTTCCGCTTTTTACTCCTCAACTTTTTACCTTCTTCTTTTCAAACTGTCCTCAAGGTAAGCAATCAAATTAATAAATTTACAATAGATGAGATGATATAAAGCAGCGAAAATGTATACGTTAAGCTAAGCAGCAAAAAAATCCTTCCGTTTCTCTTCCTCTGTTTCACAGAAAGTACTAAGAAAAAATAAAGAAGTAAAGAGACAAAAAAAAGAAAAAAGTAAGAAAACAACAAATCAAAACTGGGTATAAACTGTTATTACTGAGCCACTGAGAAAGAAACTATGGCTGTAAATATGTAAGCAATTCTTCCCACCGCTTAAAATTACTATTGTTTACGAGAAATAAAGAAAAAAGAGGGAAGAAAACTTCCATTTTTCATCTTTTTTCTTTCGCCCCAGCTTTTTTCTGTCGTTTTCATTCCTAATTTCTGTTTAAAATCTTACTATATATAATCATCACCCAGTCTAAAAATAAATGCTAAAAACGGCTGTTTACTTATCGAAAAATGCAAATATTTAACACAAGGCAGCCGAAAACATAATTCAGTCAACAGCCAACAACAAAAACACTTCTGTTTTTCGATCAAACGCCAAGTTTGATGGCCGTTTGCAGTGGCGCGAGGACGTGAGAGGAGTGACGATGAGC